TCTAGATAATTATTGATTCCCAAATTAGCTTGTTCTTTGTGTTTATTTGTGGAAGAAAAACTAGCAATGTAGATGAACAGTTCCTATGCGTAGTTTTTTCATTGACTAAGCAAGGCTGACCAAAAAAATGAAAAATCCAAAAGTCACGTGGGTACACGTAGACAATTACCGGCTGAATGGTAATTAACCGGTTAAAAGTTAAAAGTGGGTGTTTTTTATAGTTCGAGGGGTTGATTGAGTGTTTTGATAGTTCATGGGCTTAATTGATTTTTTGGCTATACTACATGGGCTTATTTGATAGTTTTTCCAACTATTTTTATTGTAAATGAATTTCAATGATATTTTTTTAATGCATGGGTTTAAGTGATCGATTAGAAATAATAAAAAGGTTTATTTCACCTCTTTTCTCCAAACCATTTTTTATCATAGTAAGTTTTGGATTGTTAATATAACTAAATGGCTGACCTTTTCTCAAGTAGATATCAAGGGTGGTGGTAATTGCATGCCTGACAATTGAATTATTGTTCAAGCCTAATATGATCCTTTTTGTTTCCGTATTTCACATGTACCTTATTAGAAAGTTTTGATGCGCCAAATCATGACATTTTATTCTCTCACATATATGTATAATTAATGTAATTACCCAACATCCTGTATTAAAAAATAATTAGATATATCATCAATATCATATCCTTTTTAAAAAATAACTTCTCATTTTTCTTATTAGAATGTCCCAAAATAAACATTTTACTTTCATAAAAATAAAACTATCCATAGTAATGTCACAACTTCTTACTTAACTTGATATAAAGTCGGAGTATAAGAAAGAAACTTAAATCAAAACTCAACTTACATATGTAGCCATGTAGGTCAAAGAAGATTCTTTTAGACACAATTATGTAGGTTAGCCACATAAGCACTTTTATCAAAATTAAAATGTACTCCAATAATTAGTTATAACTTCCCTCTGTTCATTTATTATTAATAATGGTATATTGAATAATTTTCATTGTACACAGTTCAAACTAATAGTTCATTTTGACTAATTAACTTTCTCAAGCAAAGGAAAAACTATGTTTCAACGGTAAGTTATTAATTTTAAAATTGCAAACAAGTGTTCCCATTTATGCCGAGAGGGGATTGAGGGAGTTCCATAATTTCAGCCTTTCAAAAATTGTGGGAAAACGCATGTGTGAATGTAGACCATAATTCAGCTTAAGCAAACATAAGTGTTGGTCGAAAATAACCCGGGTAGAGAAATTGGCAGCAATTCTGTATCGTCAAAATAACTCCCCAGAATACAAAGGGTTGGTGGCCTATTTATAGGCGTATACAACAGGTCCACCAATTAAATGCTACATGGGCTTGGCCCGATTTATCAACTAATACTAACGTTAATTTGGGATTAACGAAAAGTCTCCTTTTTACAAATAAAGATCGGTGAACCAATTTGGGATGAGAGCATCGGTGTCACCGTTAGTTCTCTGGTGTAGAAGACTAGAAGTATGGATGGTGTACGATGTTAGGAGGATAGATGATTTTTAGTGGTCGGAGTTAAGGCGGAGAGCATCAGAACAATGTATCTCCCCTGTACGAAGGTGATGTACGGATGAATGGCGGCGAAGGGACTTGACGACCTTATATATGGGAGTATTAGGATTTATTTGTATATATCTATGATCTATCTTAATATAATAACAAGAGGTTTATTGGGGAAGAAGTTACTGCCAAAACGGATGACTTAATTCTTACGTCATAGTATCTCATCCTTTTCTTATATTTTGGCATGGAATATCTCGATGCAGTTATTCTTGGGCCTCTTGGCCGTAAATTGGATATGGCGCGGCTGCCTTTGGTTTTCCAGCTCTCTTTATTGATATTTGTGGTCATTTGTAAATTCCAACGTAATGATCTAGGCAACCGTGTCCCCCAACCGTGTTCCAAACTTCCAATTACAGTTGTCCTTTCGTTTCCCACACCTAATTATCTACTTCATATTTATTTATATGTAGTTATTGTGTAAATTTCCAATAGTTGGCCAACAAAATGTGTAGGGAAATATTTGCAGTCGTGTCACTTAAGTAGTCGTTGAAGAGAAGTAGTGTTGCAGCCGATTAGTTTCAGAGAAAGTTCGAGAAAATTTATGAGCCCGTTTGGAGACCCATTTTTTCGGCTTATCAGGCTTATCAGTCAGCTTTTTCACCAAACACGTAATTTTGACTTTCGCGTGCTGAATTGTGTAATAAGCAGAAAAAGTAAGGTTGAAGTTACTTTTCTGGCTGTATTGGCTGAAGTTACTGTAGATGACCATTTTAGCTATTTTTACATGTAATTTTTTCTTTATTTTATTAATAAAATATATTTTTAAAATATTTTTTTCTAGAATCAGCAGAATCAGACAAAACAGCCACTTCAGCCAGAACTTCATAAATTTCAGCAGAAACAACCAAAACAGCCGATTTTCGTGCTACCAAACGGGCTCTATTACTACTGATTTATGTTTCCAATTATTGCTTTGTCCAACGAGTTATTAATAAATAAGTATGTGCATTTAATTATGGTCAACGAGTTATTAAGAAAAACCTACTTATTTATAATTATGCACATTTAAAATGTGCACATTTGAATTTTGCGTTACTTCAAGTATAAATGTGCATTTTCGTCACTCCGTGAACGATAAAGGGAATCGTTTTACACCGTTCTCATTTATCACGTTAAATAGTGTTCTCACCGAAACAACACAATATACAAACACACACACACACACACATAATTTGGATCAGTTTAGCTATTAATATTTTATAATAAAAGATATTATAATATATTTTTTTTCCAAAATTCTATAGACTCAACCAATTTAGTCACTTCAATAAAAAAAATTATAAATTTTAGGAGAATCATATTTTTTTGTTATGAGACTTATCAGTCAATGTTTTCATCAAACATGTAACACTTGATTCGCACACTAAGTTGTCTAACACTCCGTCATAAGAAAATATAAGATTTGAGTTACTTTTTCGGGTTGTATTGACTGAATTTGCTGTGGAAGATCATTTTAGCTATTTTTATATAGTTTTTTCTTTATTTAATTTATAAATATATTTTAAATATAATTTCTTTCATAAATCAGCATAATGAGTCATTCTAGCCACTTCAACCAGAACTGCATAAATTGTAATTAAATCAACCAATACAGTTTATTTGGGTATATTTATACATTTACACATTGCATTTAATGAGATTTACTGTTAATACAATGAAGAATATGATATCATTATACATAGGGATAAGGGTCAGATAGGGCCTCGAACTCGAAAAAAAATGTCAAATAAGGTCATATTTCGGATGCTCTGTCTGGCCGACGCCATTTGGGGTGGTTCCCGATGGAATTTTGTGATGAAATTTTTTGAGCATCTTCCTCATTAAGTCTAGTTTACCCATACCAAATTTCAGCTAAAAATTCAACCGGGAAGGTAGTCAAATGAGTTTTTGAAGATAACTGTGAAGTTAAACAACGCCGTACATTTCGGAAAATTATTTGACTACCTTCCTGGTTGAATTTTTAGCTGAAATTTGGTATGGGTAAACTAGACTTAACGAGGAAGATGCTCAAAAAATTTCATCAAAAAATTCCATCGGGAACCGCCCCAAATGGCGTCGGCCAGACAGAGCATCCGAAATATGACCTTATTTGACATTTTTTTTCGAGTTCGAGGCCCTATCTGACCCTTATCCCTTATACATACGATATCACACACTCTTTTAAAACTATTTATTATATACCTATGTTCTCTTAATCTCTTTTATACATTATACGTTTATCGATATTTGATGTTGTTATTCGTTGTTGATGTAGAAAATATTACTCCATCCGTCCCATTTTGGTTGTCCTACTTTCCTTTTTGGGTTGTCCCAAAATGAATGTCTTGTTTCCGTTTTTGGCAAGAAATATGTGGTTTTTATCATTTTACTTAATTATACTCAAATCTCAACCACAACTTTTACTTTTCAACCACTTTATTAATAACCATGCCAAATTGAAAGTGGACAACCATTATGGGACGGAGGTAGTACGTTATTTTATTAAGTTTTGTCCCGTGCATCGCACGGGTAAGAATCTAGTAATAAAAAGAGGTAAAACAGACTATAAATAGGATAAAAAGTGTACAATGCATGAGGAAGCGGTCCAGCCCAGTTGGTCGCCGACTCACTCTCCCTTATGGGAGGTCCCAGATTCAATTCTCAATGGAGTGAGATTGATCCCAGTTTACCCCAGACCCCCAAACCCCCTCCCCCCGATGCCCCCCTGGGGTTAAAAAAAATATAATTACAAAAAAAGTGTACAGTGCATAACAAATTGAAGTATCGTTTCAAATAGTAAAAAGTACTCCGTAGTCCGTATAACTCAAAGTCTCCAACAATTTACGTAACTAGAAACTGGAGCCTCTTTGGCAACCCAGTTTTTTGGCTTATCAGACTTATTAGCCAATTTTTCACTAAACACGTAACTTTTGTTTTCGCGCTCTGAATTGTGTAATAAACAGAAAAAGTAAGGTTGAAGTTACTTTTCTGGTTGTATTGACTGAACTTACTGTAAATGACTATATTAGCTATTTTTACATATAATTTTTTCTTTATTTTATTAATCAAATATATTTTTAAAATATTTTTTTCTTAAATCAGCAGAATCAGCCAATGCAGCCACTTCAGCCAAAACTTCATAAATTTCAGCAAAATCAGCCAAAACAGTCAATTTTCGTGCTACCAAACGGGCTCTACATTAACAACTACATTAAGGATGTTTTTACTTGGACTGTAATTTGCTGATTTGGTCTGGTCTAGTCTGAACTGGTCTGGTTTCTTTGTATTTTTATAACTATCCAAGTCTGGTCTGGACTGATCTGGTCTGGGACAAATTACAGTCTAAGTAAAAACATCCTAACAGCTCAATTGAATAACAAAAACTGAAACTAAATTTGACCAAATTTGATTCATAAAATTAGAGATCAATGCTGAGATTGGCTAACCAGCGTGAATAGTACATAAATACTTTCATATGCACGAGTTTGGAGTGACGATATAAAAGTACTAAATTTACAATAAAGTATTTTCGAACAAAAAATATTTTTTCCTCCCCATAAGTCATCACTGACTTCCTGGAAGCAATTTTCTTACCACCTTATACATCTGTGCAATAAAATAATGGAAAAACCAAGGTTTTCATAGCCTTCAGTATGGTCGGATGGAATATAGTCAGTCAGTCAGTCTGGCGTCTCAAACATAAGTTGCATAGCTTCCTTTCCATAACAGCTCCCACAGCTACACGAGTAGAATCAGTCCAATCCACCACGATCGAGCATGTCAACCAACGTCATTCTTCGCGGGAACCTGGGAGGCAACCTCAAATGCATAGCGTCCTCAATCTTAATGGGTAGATGGGTGGCTACAATGACAATCCCACCCTTCTTTCTGTGATCGGCTATGATGGACTCCAGTATCTTCACACCATCATCATCCAATGCCACCGAAGGCTCATCAAGCAACCAAATTGGCCTATCAATTGCCAACAACCTAGCAAGCTGTAACCTTTTCCTTTGACCCATGGAGAGCATTCTTGACTTCTCATTTGCCAATCTCCCCAGCCCCACAGCCTCTAAAGCCGGCAAAGACTTTCCCTGCTTCCCTTCAAGCACTTCAAACCACTGAACGTTGTCTAGGACCGTGAACTTCTCCTTCACAGCATCCTTGAGGGTCATTGGAAACCGGAAAATACCAGGGAAGAAATTAGAACGGAAAAAAATTGGAAGGAAAGGAAATTGTGGGGGGATGAAGAGGGGGTGAAATTATAGGCTAAAAATATACTGTATTATTTTAGAGTTCATTGTAACTCATTTTCTTTGTTTATGTCTAGTAATTACTAATTAAAGATAAAGAAATCTAAGTATATGCAAAACAACCAAAATAAATATAAAAATCTCTAATCATATTCGATCTTCAGAGCCTATTTGGTAAAGCTGATAAATAAGTCAAATGCCCACTTATGCTGTTGACAAGCAGAATAACAATTTTTTGCTATCAAACTATCAGTTTTCCTTGCATTTTCCTACAAGTTTAAACCATCATAAAATATAACCCGACTAATCTACTTAGTTTTTTCCTTTCATTATCATTTTCAGTGATCAAAGCACACCTTCAGGGAAAGCCAGTTGAGCTGGAGTTTGTATTGCTCAAAGATACCCGAATTGGTGATGTCATGACCATTCCATAGTATTTCACCAGCAGATGGTTTTGCGAAACCAGCTAACATGCGCAGAAAGGTGGTTTTTCCAGAACCATTTGTGCCCGTCAGTACAAGAGCCCCACCGTCATGGAGTGTGACGTTAACATGACGAAGAATTTGTTGTGCATTTCTCATGCAACCTACATTGTTAAGGAGAAGCCGTGGAAGGGGTGGCCTACGCAAAGACATAATCTTTTACAAATAATATCTGGAAACAAAGGAGACATTACTGGAGGTGATGCTTGCTCAACGAATCATATGATATGCACTTTGATCAACATACAGACATTAGTAATACTGTAACAGTAGCAGTAGTAATGGTAATAGCAGTAATAGTAAGCTACAATAATCTCTAATATATATACACACTGGAGAATCTAGCATTTCTGTCCAGTAGGGGGGGTTCACATGTATAAAATAATAAATTCAATTGCACTGAAAAATTAAATAAAAAATACGGAGTAATATTTTACAAGAAAAGGAGTTTTCATCCAAGTCAAATCCAAAAATAAATCACAAATTCATAATTTTTCTCACTGTATAAGTTGCACAATACTGAAAAGGTCCCCACAATTAAATTAAGAGCAATGGGATTAAACCGATTAATGCTAAAACAAGCTTATGAATTAATACTAAATAACGGGATTAATATTCACACCCATATTAATACTCACTATCATATTCCTACTGATGGGAACATGGGATTAATGCTAAAAATAAAATTAAAAACTCACTCAAAAATCACAAAATGAAATTGCGATTTTTTTTTCAAAAAATGAAATTACTATATGTCTGTATTAATGCAAATTAGCAAATAAACTATAAGGCACTAGGCAGTAAACTCTAATGCCGTCTGTTGTAACTCCCTGCACTAAACACAAGGGACACAACTAACAAAAGCTAAACGGCTAAAAATTAAAATCAGTAACATTCTCACAAGTAACAATTAACCAATAAAATATTTAATAAAATAATAATCAAAGATTCAAAGTACCTATTTTATCAATTATCAAATCATTCTCTAATCTTCAATAAATCATTCTCTAAGATTTAATTTTATATTTAATCATTATAAGTTTATAATAAATTTTTGCCCAATTAGACCTATTTTATTATGCATTGAAAATTTCAATTAATAATCAAACCAATCTAACCCAAGGACGGCCAGAGAGTAAAAATTTCAATTAACTAACGGAAGGACGGCTAGAGAGTAAACATTTTAATTAATAATCAAACCATTCTCTAATATACAAGTTAACAAAATCTCACAAAATAAGAGAGTAAAAATCTGAAGACTCACCTCCGCCAGAGCTGGAGGCAGAGCCCAGAGAGGAAGGACGGCCGAGTGGCCGACGACGCAGCCCCCTGGATGGATGGAAGCGCGGCGTGGACGACGGAACGCGGCGCGTGGTGTTCGCTCTTCGTAGCAGAGCTCGCTTGTGCCTTCGTCTATCTTCTATTATCTCTCTTTCGCGTTCTGCCGATTCGCAAGGAGCTGTGCTGCGCAGGTAAGTTGAAGATTCTGGCTTTGGGCTGTGGGCTGGGACTGGAAATAAATTTTGGGCTGGGCTGGAAATAAATTTTGGGGTGGGCCGATAATAAAATCTATACCTATACTAATTAAAATATAAAAATTGGGCTGGTCTGGAGCCCACTCCTGCCCTCACAGCCATCCTCCTCTGGATATTTCTGATTAGGCCTAGTCCAGTTCGGTCTGAGACTGAAAACAGTCCGAATAAAAACCTTCTTAGTCTGATTTAGTCTGATCTGATCTAATTTTCTTCAACTGCGGCCTGAGCCCTCACTAGCTCATGTATCAAGGCCCGCCCAATCCGCGTTGAAACAATAACATTTTTATAAGATTGGTTTCTTCCGCTTTACTTTTAAGATAACATACACATCCATGACACCAAACTTCAATAGTATATGCATCAAATGGAAGCAACTGTGTATTATCCGTTAGTAAAGACAAAGCCATAGAACTATTACTTAATAATTTCCTTTTCTTGAAGGAAACCATTAGCCCATTAACGTAACTTTCAAAATGTAACAGTCTTTGTATTGTATATACTTCGTATATTGTAAGGTATATATATCCCCTCCTAAAAAGAACTTTCACCATAGCATCTATTTAAAGCACAAATGTTAGTTTTGCTAGGCTAGAAAAACTGTGGAAGGAAAATAATTAAAGTCGAAGAAATATATATTCAGAGGGTAGAATTAGAATAATTAAGATGGCAGGGCAAGCTATAGGAGTGCGGCTGTACAAACAAGATCGCCATGTACGTAACTAATGAAAAAATCACTTCCATTTACTTCAGCTTAATTACACTTGGTTTTATTAGTATTGTAGGATCAGATTAATTATTTTGATCATTGTTAATTCATCTTTAATCAATTATTACTTATTTAATTTGGTGCAGGTAATGATCGATAATGGTATAGTTCAATTGACTATATCAAATCCAGAGGGAATTGTGACTGGCATACGTTATAATGGCATAGACAATCTTCTTGAAGTTCTAAACGATGAATCTAACCGAGGGTATGTAACATTTTATGCATATAATAAATCTCCATATGAACAAAATGTAGTGTTACCTTTTGGGAATAAACATGAATCTCAAATTCTCAAAAGTGCAAAAATAAACATGTTGCGATTATTTATGAACCAACTTCGCATACACACTCACTTAACTAACTCAACAATATATGTTCTACTTTTGATTTTGATATTAAAAATCCATATATTCGATCGAAACGTTGTGAAAAGTTTCGGTGAATTGTAAAAAACAAACTTAAAAATACTACAATTTGATATACCAAGTATAAATTATTAGTGAAACTTTCATTTTATTATGTACTCCGTATGTGCTTGCACTATAAGAATTGGCGCATATTAGTCGCAAATCAGAATATCCGTCAACAGATCTGCCAGAAAAAGCTTAGCAACATATGAGTGTCAGAAACTCCACCCCAAATATTGACATCAAACTACTTTGTGGTGAAAAAAATCATCCGATGCAAATTAAAAGAGGAATTTAATCTCGGGGATGTCTGCCACAGTTCTTTGTGATGCGTACTCTGCCACTAAATATCGTCACTAAACTATGTGTTCAATTATAATTTTTAACAGTAATACCATTTATAAAATATGAATATGAAATTAATGAATTTTAATAATTCAAATTGTAAAAGTTGGAATTAAGACTGTAGAAAATCATATGCCAGAACGAAGAGAAGTTCATACAAGAAACGAAAAGAAGAAAGTTGGCTTTCATTATTTCTTGTTATCCGGATATAGAGTACTTTTGTTCGTATATATACAAGTTGACTAACTAAAAATGGAATAACAAGAAAGTATAAATAATCTATTGTATCTAACAAATTTCTAACTGATTAAAGTAGCTAGAATCTTCTAGATCTTTCCTTGTTTCTTTGCTCCTGTATGCGAGGTCATTTCTCACACGTGTGCATGCTGCTTCATTTTCAACGTTGCATGGCATTCTTCCAGCGTGTGAGTCCACGTGGCATGAGTTGTGTTTAATATGCCAAGACCCCCCCCCCCCCCCCCCTTCAAGAGGAGAGTACAGATTTTGTACGCTCATCTTGGATAACAAAAAATGGAAAGCAGCACGGCCTAGGGGTTTTGTTAAGATGTCTGCAATTTGATGATGAGTAGGAACAAAGAGTGTGCGTATTACTCCAGACTGGATCCAATCTCGGATGAAATGGCAATCAATTTCCACGTGTTTGGTTCTTTCATGGTGGATAGGATTTGCAGCTAAGGCTAAAGTAGATTTACTATCAGAAAATAATGTTGCTTTGAGTACTGGGATCTTGAAGTCCTTGAAGAGCTGTAGTAGGCCAAGAATTTCTGCAACTGAAGTGGCTAAGGCTCTATATTCTGCTTCTGTTGAGCTCCTAGAAACTGTGTGTTGTTTCTTGGATTTCCAAAAGATGAGAGAGTCTCCTAGAAACATGCAATAACCTGTGATGGATCTCCTAATGTCATCACAACTTGCCCAATCTGAATCTGAGAATCCTTTTAGCTGCAAATCAGATTTGGAAGAATATAAAAGACCTTGTCCTATAGATCCCTTGAGGTATCTAAGAACTCTATGTGCTAGAGTATTAACAACAAAGCTTATATCTGGCATGGTTGTGGTTAAGTAAAGCAACTTTCCAATCAAAGATCTGTATGAAGTAGGATCATCTAAGTAATGCTCATCTTGACTACTTAACCGAAGCTTGCTATCCATTGGAAATGATGTAGGTTTACAATCCTGGTATCCATATTGCTGTAGAAGATCTGTAGTGTATTTTCTTTGACATAAGTAAATGCCAACAGATGAACGAGCCACTTCCAAGCCTAAGAAGAACTTCACAGGACCCAAATCCTTGATCTTAAACTTGTTGTTGAGGAATTGTTTGATTTTGGTGATTTGCTCCATATTAGAACTTGCAACCAGGATGTCATCAACATATACTAACAATATTAAGGTGAAATGAGCTGTATGGAGTGTGAATAAAGAATAGTCCATATGTGACTGAACAAAACCATAGCCTTTTAATGCAGTAGATAGTTTTGAGAACCATTGTCTGCTAGCCTGTTTTAGACCATATAGATTTTGAGTAACTTGCAGACTTTGTTCTTTTGTTTTTGCTCAAATCCTGGAGGAATATGCATGTACACTTCTTCTTCTAAGTCTCCATGAAGGAAAGCATTGTGAACATCTAACTGCTCCAAGAACCAACCTTTTGAAGCAACTAAAGCAAGAAGTACTCTGACAGTTGAGAATTTGGCAACAGGAGAAAAGGTGTCAAGGAAATCTAGGCCTTCAATTTGGGTGAATCCTTTAGCAACAAGTCTGGCCCTGTACCTTTCTATTGTACCATCTGCATGATATTTTACCTTATAAACCCATTTACACTTGATAGGGATTTTCCCTGGAGGTAGATCAGTAATCAACCAGGTACCATTGGACTCAAGAGCAGTAATCTCATCTTGCATAGCCTTTCTCCAATTTTGGTCCAAGGAAGCTTGAGTATAGGATGTAGGTTCGATGATATATGATATGGCAGCACATAAACTATGATATGAAGGAGAAAAACGTTTGAAAGTGATGTAATTATTTAAGGGATGAAGAATTTTACCTGATTTGGACTTGATGGAGGAGGATGAAGCAACCGCATTGCCAGTGTTAGTGACTGTACATACTCAGTCCTTAAGGTGGGATGGCATTTTTCTTGGTCTGGAAGATCTGAGAGAGATGGATTGGTTGTGATCTTGTGATGAAACTGGAATGACAGGAATGGGTGTTTTCTGTATTCTAAGGAATGGGTTCAGGAATTGAACTTTCTGGGATTGGAGAAAGAAAATCTGTATCATTGGTGTTAGGTGAAGAGTGAGTAAATGGGAATGTATTTTCATGGAGAATAACATCCCTGGATATGAAAGTTTGGCAGGTATCAAGTTCATACAACTTGTATCCTTTGGTATGGGGTGGGTATCCAATAAAGATGCATTTTCTAGCTCTTGACTAAAATTTTGTTTTGTGTGCAATGAGATTGGAAGCATAGCAAAGGCATCCAAAAGATTTGAGAACAGAATAATCAGGCATCTGATTGTGAAACACTTCAAATGGAGATTTGTTTTTCAAAACAAGGGTAGGTAATCTATTGACAATGTGGGCAGCTGTGAGTATACAGTTTCCCCAGAAGAACAAAGGCACGTTGGATTGAAATCTCAGGGCTCTGGATATGTTTAAAAGAGTTTGATGTTTTCTTTCAGTTACTCCATTCTGCTGTGGAGTGTAGGAACAAGTTGTTTGATGTATGATTCCCTCAGTAGAGTAGGATTCTGGAATATGGAACTCAGTTCCATTATCAGATCTTATGATTTTAATGTGAGTAGAGTACTGAGTTAAGACAAGTTTGTGAAATGATATAAGGTGTTGTTTGGTTTCAGATTTATATTTCATTAGACACACCAAATAACCCTTGAAAAGTCATCAACAATGGTAAGAAAATATTGAAAACCATCATAAGTAGGAATAGAAAATGGACCCCAAACATCACATGAATTAGGTCAAATGGTTTTACAGATTTGATACTACTTCTAGGGAAAGACAATATATGTTGTTAAGCCGTAGGGCAACATTACAATCTTTATTATCAAGGACAACAATATTCAAAACATCTTTGATAGATTGAAGCTCGAGATCAGAAGCATGGCCTAATATGTGATGTCAAATGCTGGAAGAAACATTGTGTATGGCATGGGAGTGGTTATTTGCGGACTCAGCCTTATTAGAATGAAGTATGTACATCCCCTTGATCAGATTAGCAGTGCCAATCCTCTCCTTCAAATTTTTGTCCTGCAGAATGCATTTATTTTCACAGAAAATGAGATTCAATGGTGTTTCTGACAAAAGCTTACTCATAGACAAAAGGTTAACACTAAAGTTGGGAACATATAAGACTCTTGTCAGAACTAT